GATTTCTAGACCCTCAAAACCAGAATTTTGTAAAGAGTCTAATGAGGACTCATGCAAAAATTTATCTTTGACTACACAGTCAATGATATCTAGTCTAGAACATTCCTCAATGTCTCTTGGGTATTTCATGGCTTTTAAAATATTAAATTTTACTTGTTCACCATTCACATTCATGGCCAACTCACCCTCCTTAACATCTATAACAGCCCCACCAGTGGCTAAGAAAGCCCTTCCCAAAATAATTGGAACCTCTCTGTCTTCCTCATAGTCTAAGATTATAAAATCAGGAGGTAGAATGAATTTATCTACTTTCACCAAAACATTCTCTACTTTCCCTTCCGGATAAACTAGAGACCTATCAGCCAACTGTAATGTGACAGTGGTGGGATTAGGCTCTCCTACTTTCAGCTTTTTGTACACACTCAAAGGCATTAAGTTGATAATAGCACCTAAATCACGCAATGCTCTGCCTATGTAGTGGTCTCCTATGGTACAAGGGATTGTAAAACTTCCCGGGTCTCCTAGTTTAGGAGGTATCTTACTAAGAAGATATTGACTGCTCTCTTGTGTAAGAGCAACAGTCTCAAACTCTTCTAGCCTCCTTTTTCTTGAAAGAATTTCTTTCATGAACTTCACATAAGAGGGCATTTGTTCCAATGCATCAACAAATGGAATGTTGACATGCAACTGTTTTAGGAGGTCTAGAAATTTCCTAAACTGATTATCTTGCTTCTGCTTTTGCAACCTTTGAGGAAAGGGTGGTGGAGGTCTTTTTGAAGCAGCAGGTGTCTCACTATTTGGCTTAGGGGCTGAACCCTTTTGAGTGGGTTTTTCAATGGAATTATTCCCTAAAGGCTCATCTATAGAGGGCTGAGTGTCTGATTCGACCAAAATGGGTAAGGAGTTATTGTGCACAACCCCTTGGGGGCTATTATGAACAACAGAATTCTGAACAGGTTCAGAATTTGCATCCTTTTCTTTCTGCATGTTCTCCCATTCTTTTTTTTTTAATGTGGAAGGTCTAACCACAGCTTCTGGCTGATTTACAGATCTGCCATTTCTAAGCTCTATCATATTGCATTGCTCTTTATTTCTCCTAGGCTCTTCAGTGTTACTAGGCAAGGTACCAGGAGGTCTGGTATTCATAGTGTTTGCTAAATGGCCTAGTTGGGATTCTATGTTCCTCAAGGATGCTGGAATACTTTGCACAACAGCTTCCAAGCTGTTTTGCTTGGTCTCATTCTTAACCAAATATTCCCTTAACAAAGCTTCTAAAGAAGAGGATGGAGCAATAGGCATCTCACTAGGTTGAACAACAGCTTGCTGCCTTGAAGTTTGTTGGTAATTCTGGGTAGGAAAAGGTATTTTTGTTTGGGCATTAGAAGGGGCAGCTTGCTGCCCCTGCCCTTGAAAATATTGAGGCCGTTGGTTCTGCCTCCATCCCTGGTTAAAGTTATTGGGAAAAATATTTTGGTTTCTATTTTGGTTTCCCACATAAAACACAGATTCTGGGTTGGATGGGCAGCTATCATACAAATGGGGCCCACCACAGCAAACACAAGTTACACTTGTGTTTATTGCATTAACTTGAGGTTGGGTCACAGGTATTTGAGGTGCAGGAACTTGGGATTGGGATAATCTTGCCTCAATGGTTTGTCCTTGGGTTCTCACTAAATTGGACAGTGCATCAAACTTGGCTGAAAGAGCTGTTACAGGGTCTATCTCATGTAAACCAGCCACTCTCCTTGGCTGATTTCTCTCTTCAGGCCATTGGGCATAATTTTGAGTCATTTGTTCTAACAAATCATGGGCTTGGTTAAAGGACATAGTCATAAACATGCCATTAGCAGCAGAATCTGCCAAGGCCCTGTTTTGAGTATTTAGGCCATTGTACAAGGTTTGTAACACTGCCCAAGAGGGCAAACCATGGTTGGGGCATTGCTTAAGAAGGTTCTTGTACCTCTCCCACACATCCACTAGTGTCTCTCCATCCCTCTGCATGAAGTTAGCAATATCACCTCTAGTTTGCACTATCTTATTAGAGGGGAAAATTTTCATAATGAATTTCTCAGCAAGGGTGTGCCAATTGGTTATGGAGTTGGATGGAAGGGAGTTCAACCATTCTTTGGCTTTGTCAGCCAGTGAATGAGGGAAAAGCTTCAATCTTAACACATCATCCGAGATGTTAGGATTCCTAAAAGTGTTGGCCACTTCTATGAAATTTCTAAGGTGCTTGTGTGGGTCTTCCATAAACAACCCATGAAACTGCCCCATGTTTTGAAGCATGGTGAACATCACAGGTTCTAACTTAAAGGGCACTCCATTCACAGGTTGGGCTATGCTTGGATCTAACTCATCCAACACAGGTATGATGAAGTCCATCATGGACCTATCATTATCATTTATGACAGGTGGGTCCCTTATCCTTGCAGGTCCTCCTACCCCATCATTCCCATTTACACTTCCTAAATCCTCCATTTCTTCAATTTCTAGAAGTGGAATTGCCTATGTGCTTTCTGGGCTCTTCTCCTAACTCTAAATGTCCTCTCAGGTTCAGGGTCAATTGAATATATGAACGGGTGTGGAGTTGCACTCATGCACCCCTTTTAACTAAAACAGGTAAACCTGACTTAGCTAAAACACCTAGATTACTAACCAACTTTTATGCAGAACAAGCAAAAAATAAACAAACAAGAACCTGCAAGCAGAAAAGTCCCAAGACAGTTCACAGCCTGACGGCTTTATAAGGCAGTAACAACTCACCCTCACACAGGGTGGAACTAATAATTAAAATAAAACTGAAACTAAAAAAAAAATTACAAAACAAAATAACAACTATGAACTATGAGACTAAAAAAAACTTAAATGACATAAAATAAACAGAATATGAACAGAACATATTTTAAACTACCAATATTCAAGACACTATAGTAATAATAACTAAAACAAAATTGAAACAGAATTCAAATGAGCTACACTAAAAACAGCAAAAAGAAGCAGTTCAAAAATAGCAATCACACAGAAATCTGATCATATACGCCTCGATCCCCGGCAACGGCGCCAAAAACTTGTTGCCTTGCTAACAGTTGTGCAAGTAATGCGCGCAAGTATACGCGACAACAAGTAATATAGGGCTGTTATAAGTTCCAGTTATCGTTCCCACAAGGATCGTTGGCGTTTTGAAATGACTAAAATTTGTAATTGCTTAAAACAGAGTTACTATTTGAAAATAGAAGAAATAAAATTGTAAAGTAAAAAATAATCTAGAATGGACCTAAAACACTACTGTTCACTTTTCTTTTAAAATTTTCTGAATTACTTTCCTAAGTTATAAAATAAGAAGTAAGAATGAAGCAACTTAAATGACAGATGTGACAAAAATTTTGAAAACAGAATAGAGATTGAAATATGAAATAACAATGGAAATTGGAAAATATGCGCCTAGCATATAAGGAAATCTGAACCAAAAAGAGAAAGAATGTTGATGAAATCTTGAGAAAAAGAGCAAGAATCACTGTTAATTTGTCAGAATCTTAATCAAGGATTGAATACTGATTTTATGCTAATTTTGTAGGAAAAAGCAAACAAACTGGAGCAAAACGAGGATTTTGCAAAATCAAAATCCACGCTCAAAGCGTGGATCTCACGCTGGCAGCGTGGAAGAAATTTTTCAGACAGAAGCGTTCACGCTTGAAGCGTGAAGTTGACGCTGAGAGCGTCAGTTTGCGAATTCTCAGACCCCGTGTTTTGCAACGGGGCAATTTTGGAAAAGAAAAAGATTTAAAAATCAAGTTTTTGATTCAGCAATGAGATCTCTATCCAAATTAGAGATAAGATTAGATGATTTGTGGTAAGATTGAATCAAGATTTGAAATTCTAATTTATCAATCAAATCTCCAAGGTTGTTACATGAAAAAAAAGGAAACAAAGTTTAAATCAAATACAAACTCTTGGATGGGCTCAATGCCGGTGGTTATAAATAAGGAGATTGGGAGCACAACCAAGAAACAAATTCACAACTCAGAGCAAGCAGTAGAGGACTGAAGATCAAGAATTCTTCTCCATTCTTTCTAGTAATTATAGTTTTTATGCTTTCTTTTGAATATTTGTTTATGTCGGATATGACTATGTCTGGCTAAGTTCTTTTATTGTAGTTAGGGTCACAACCCTATGTGAACCCTTGTTATGACGGATTGATTTAAATTATTGTACTCGTTTACATAAATTTCTTTATCTTATCTTGTGCGTATTTGATATTTTCTTTATTAAACCTGATCAATTTGATAGTTGAAAATAGTTTGAGGGTTAGAACCTTAAATAGGGATATTGGGGTTTCTGATCTCGGAAGGAGATAAGATAACTATTGGTATGCATACTAGGGATAGATGTCTATTTAATTGCAGATGTTGGAATTATTGTGTTCATTGCTTAATTCTCATGAGGGGTTACTAAGGGATTAGGATTCTAAGTGAGGTTAAAGGGTTAAGTTACCAAGGGATTGGGATTTAACTATTAATATATTGAGATCATAATTATCTGAGAAATTATATAAATAAGTATTTTGTATCAATCCAAAGTAATAAGTGGGGAACATAGGGAGAGTGTTCCCTAACTGCAATTCTTTCTCATATTTTCAAAACCAACTCCATTATTATTTTTCTTTTCATTCTTGAAAATACAAAAACTCAAAAATAAGTCTTTACTTTTATGGTTACTAAGATTCAATTTAATTTTCCCAACAAAAGATCAAGTTTTTCAACTTAAAGTGACTGATTATTTTAGTACTTGGTTTTCAATCTGAGGAGACGATCTTTCTTACTACTTTACTACTTATGCGAAACGGTATACTTGCCGGATAGCATCAAGTTTTTGGCGCCGTTGCCGGGGATTGAAAATTTCAATATTATAAATAATCTTTGATCTTTGAGATTGAATTTTATTTTATTTTACTATTCTTGTTTGCATTTTACAGGTGCTATTAACAAATTTTTCTGAGTTTTATGCGAGGTAGACTTCCATCTAAAGACTTTTTGCTTGATCCTGAAATATCAAGGACTGAGAGGAGACTGAGGAAGGCGGCTAGGCAGATAATTTGGGAAGATTTGAAAAGCGTACCTGCACAACCAAAACAAGAGATGGAAGGAGACAACAACGATGATGGTGGCATAGGCCACAATCCACCCCCAAGATTGTTGGAAAGTATTCTGACACCAGTGTTCAATAGGCCAAACTCAAGCATAGTCAGGCCGACGGTGGAAGCAAACAATTTTGAGTTGAAACCATCATTGATTTCTTTGGTGGCAAGAGCTCAATATTCTGGTGCTGACGAGGAAGACCCTCATGAGTTCATAGATCGATTTCTGATGATCTGTGACACCACGAAGCACAATGGTGTGCCAGCTGATGCTATCAGGCTCCGACTATTTCCTTTTGCTGTTAAGGGAAGTGCTCTCAAATGGATAGAAAGGCAACCAGCAAATAGTATCTCAACATGGGAAGATTTGTCAAACAAATTCTTTGCCCATTTCTTTTCTATGGAGAAATATAATCAGCTGGTGAATGCAATCACGAATTTCCGTCAATTTGAAGGAGAATCATTGTGTGCAACTTGGAATAGGTTCCAAGAACTTATCCGGAAGTGTCCACAATGGGAGGGAGACAATGACAGAAAGGTAGCAATTTTCTTTAATGGCATTTCTCCTGAAACAAGGTTGGTGATTAATGGTGCAGCTGGAGGTTCTATTCGGCAGAGTACCTCAGAGCAAGCCCTCAATCTGATAAAGAAGTTGGCAAGAGATGAAAATGAGAGTGTTCCAGCCTCAGTAAAAAGAGGAGTGATAAAACAAGAAAACAATGACACTTTGCTCGCTGAACTGTTATCCAAAAAGATTGATAGTAAGTTTGACAGCTTGGAGCAGCGATTTCAAAAATTCCAAGTGTCTCATGTTCAATCAACTCCTCAGGAAGCTCACAAATCCAACGAATGCTCTAATTCGTTATCAGATGATTCACCTCAACAAGTACAGGTGAATGGAATATGGTATGACCAGCGGCCTCAGCCGTCAAACTTTTCAAGGAACAATAATTATGGTGCTGGAGGTGGTGGTGGAAATTTTCAGCGAAGAACTCAAGGAGCTGGCATGGATTACAAATCTAATAACTACCAGCAGCCTCCACAAATTCAAGCAAAGGAACCCTCTGAATTGGAAAAGCTAGTGGCACAGATGGCTCAACATTCAAATGCTTTCATGGAGGAGCAAAGAGCCAACAACAAAAATACAAGTGCTTCCATAAAGAATCTGGAGAATCAGATAGGCCAACTTGCAAAGCAGGTTTCAGACAGAATTCCGGGTACTTTTCCTAGTAATACAGTTATCAATCCAAAGGAAGATTGCATGGCTATTACCACTAGAAGTGGCAAAGTTGTAGCACCGCTTGCAAATCCAATTCTTGATCGTGTGGAAGACAAGGAACAAGCGGAGAAGCAGAAAGGAGCAATTGAACCAGAGGCTGAAGTAATTGTGAAAGAAAAGGAGAAAGAAGCCGTCATTGAAAAGGAAAAACCATCCTTCTTTGATAAGAACTGCCCATTGACCCATGAATATATAATGGCTCAAGCACCTTACCCAGAAAGGTTCAAGAAAGAGGTTACTAACAAACATTATGACAGGTTCTTAGACATCTTCAAGAAGTTGCACATCAATATTCCTTTTGCAGAAGCCTTAGCAAATATGCCTGGATATGCAAAATTCATGAAGGATCTGTTGAAGAAGAATAAACTGCAAGAATGCCAAACCGTTGAACTTACTGCAAAAAGTAGTGCATTCATTCAGCAGAAGATTCCTGCTAAGCTTCGTGATCCAGGTAGTTTTAATATTCCCATTACTATTGATGATATTGCCATTGGCAGAGCTATTTGTGATCTTGGGGCTAGTATCAACTTGATGCCTCTTTCTATTTATAAGTCACTGGGAATTGAAGAATTGAAACCCACAGAAGTTTCTCTTCAACTTGCTGATAGATCTGTAAGGAAACCTAACGGGATCATTGAAGATGTTCTTGTCAAAGTTGACAAGTTTATCTTTCCTGTTGATTTTGTGGTGTTGGATACAGGGGAAGGAAGTGATAAGCCTCTACTTTTAGGTAGGCCCTTTTTGGCTACAGCCCGTGCTCTAATTGATGTTGAGCAGGGAATGATTAAATTAAGGATGCATGATGAGGAACTCAATTACAATGTTTTTGAGGCAATGAAAAGACCAGCTGAGAATGATGATTGTTTTCAAGTTGAAGTGTTTCAAGAGCAACATAAGAAGATGCGTCCACAAGAAAATGATTATGAGTTGAGAGCCCGGGATCATGTTCCTTTTGAAGGCAAAGAAGTTGCTGTGGAAGAGCTTAAAGAAAAAGCTGATGATATAGAAGATAAGCCACCCAAGGTTGAGTTGAAAACTCTGCCTGATACTTTGAAATATGTATTCTTGGGGAATGAAGAGACTTATCCTGTAATTGTCAATACGGCACTATCTCCTGGTCAAGAAGAGGAGCTTGTTGAAGTTCTAAAAGCTCATAAGACTGCCATAGGGTGGTCTATTTCTGATTTAAAGGGTGTTAGTCCCTCTATTTGCACACACAAAATTCTTATGGCAGAAAACATCAAACCTGTGAGACAACCGCAAAGAAGGCTTAACCCGATCATGAAGGAGGTAGTCAGAAAAGAAGTTGTGAAACTTCTTGATGCAGGTATGATTTACCCAATTTCTGATGCTGCTTGGGTAAGTCCGGTTCAGACTGTTCCAAAGAAGGGTGGTGTGACCGTTGTCAAAAATGCAAACAATGAGTCATTCCCAACTAGAACTATCACAGGTTGGAGAATGTGTGTTGATTACAGAAGGTTGAACACGGCTACCAGGAAAGATCATTTTCCACTACCCTTTGTTGATCAGATGCTGGAAAGACTGGCGGGCCATGCCTATTACTGCTTTTTAGATGGCTATTCAGGCTACAATCAAATTCCAGTAGCCCCTGAAGACCAGGAGAAGACAGCTTTCACTTGCCCATTTGGAGTCTTCGCTTACCGACGAATGCCATTCGGTCTCTGTAATGCACCTGCCACCTTCCAAAGGTGTATGCTCTCTATTTTTTCTGACATGGTAGAGCGATTTTTAGAGGTATTTATGGATGACTTCTCCGTCTTTGGTTCTTGTTTTGATTCTTGTTTAATTAACTTGTCTAAAGTTTTGAAAAGGTGCCAAGAGACTAACCTTGTTCTGAATTGGGAAAAGTGCCATTTTATGGTTAATGAAGGTATTGTTTTGGGGCATAAAATCTCCAGGAATGGAATTGAGGTTGATAAAGCTAAATTGATCTTGATTGAGCAACTCCCCACTCCCATTAATGTTCATGCTGTTAGGAGTTTTCTAGGACATGCAGGTTTCTACAGGAGATTCATCAAGGACTTCTCCAAGGTTGCTAAACCATTGAGCCAGCTCTTGGTGAAGGACTCCGAATTCAAATTTGATGATGCATGCCTGAAGTCTTTCACCATATTGAAAGAAAAGCTTACTACAGCTCCTGTGCTTACAGCCCCTGATTGGAGCCTTCCTTTTGAGCTCATGTGTGACGCCAGTGCTTATGCAATTGGTGCCGTCCTCGGTCAGCGTAAGGAAAAATTATTACATGTCATTTACTATGCTAGCAAAGTCTTGAATGAAGCTCAAGTTAATTATGCCACAACTGAGAAAGAGATGTTAGCAGTAGTTTATGCACTGGATAAATTTAGACCTTACTTGTTAGGATCCAAAATCATTGTTTTTACTGATCATTCTGCTATTAAGTATCTGATAGCTAAGCAGGATGCTAAACCACGATTGCTAAGGTGGATGTTACTCTTTCAAGAGTTTGATTTGGAGATCCGAGACAAGATTGGAGTGGAGAACAAAGTGGCAGATCATCTGTCAAGAATCCAGGAGAAAGAGCTTCAAGATAGTCCTGACAAAGAAATCAACGACTATTTTCCTGATGAAAAAGTGATGTCTATTCACGTCCCTCCATGGTTCGCAGACTTTGCCAATTACAAAGTTGTGAAGGAGTTACCTGCTAATCTTACTGGGCAACAACAAAAGAAATTTCTGCGGGATTTAAAGAGGTACTTCTGGGATGATCCATATCTATACTTTCAATGTGCTGACGGAATCATTCGTAGATGTGTTCCTGAGTTTGAGACGACCCAGATCTTGTGGCACTGCCACTCTTCTGAATATGGAGGTCATTTTGGAGGCAATAGGACTGCTCAGAAAGTCCTGCAAAGCGGTTACTACTGGCCAACACTGATCAAAGACGCCAGAGAATTTGTCGAAAAATGTGACAAGTGTCAGCGAGCAGGCAACATATCTCGCAAGGATGAGATGCCTCTGAATAGTATATTGGAGGTAGAGTTGTTTGACGTATGGGGCATTGATTTCATGGGCCCATTTCCCTCGTCTTATTCCAACCTGTACATACTGGTGGCCGTTGACTATGTATCCAAGTGGGTTGAGGCAATTGCCCTTCCTACTAATGATGCTATATCAGTGGTAAATTTCTTGAGGAAGAACATTTTCACAAGGTTTGGAGTACCCCGAGCCATTATCAGTGACGGAGGTACTCACTTCTGTAACAGGCACTTTGAGAGCTTACTTGCTAAATATGGAGTCAAACACAGAGTTACTACACCATACCATCCACAAACCAGTGGACAAGTTGAAGTTTCAAACAGAGAAATAAAGAGAATCTTAGAAAAGACAGTGGGAAACTCTCGGAAGGATTGGGCTAAGAAGCTTGACGATGCACTGTGGGCATACAGAACTGCATTCAAAACCCCCATAGGCATGTCACCGTATCAATTGGTGTATGGCAAAGCTTGTCATTTGCCTGTGGAGTTGGAGTACAAGGCCTTATGGGCCACAAAGTTTTTGAATTTTGAACCATCAGGAGCTCGGGAGAAAAGATTACTTCAGTTAAATGAGCTAGATGAGTTCAGAAGAACTGCATATGAAAGTGCAAGGATTTACAAGGAGAAGACTAAGCGGTGGCATGATAGCAAAATCAAGCACAAAGAGTTTGAACCAGGACAACAGGTATTATTGTACAACTCTCGACTGAGGTTGTTTCCAGGTAAACTTAAATCACGTTGGTCTGGTCCTTTTATTGTGAAGACAGTCTTCCCATATGGGACAGTAGAAATCTCCCCTCTCAAAGAGGACAGACCTTTCAAGGTCAATGGAAATAGATTGAAAATCTATTATGGAGAACAAACACCTAGAGACACAATTTCTGTCTCTTTAGTTGCACCTGAACCTTAAACAGTTGCTGTCAGGCTCGTGACGTTAAACAAGCGCTAGATGGGAGGCAACCCAGTGAAAGAATTTTCATTTTAGTAGTTTTTAAATTTTTGTTTTTATTTAAGTCAAGAAAACAGAGAAAATACAAAAAGAAGGTGCAGTGAGAAATAAGTCCACGCTCTCAGCGTGGAATCCACGCTAGTAGCGTGGAATGTTCAGATCAACAGTAGCTTCCACGCTTGAAGCGTCAATTTGACGCTTACAGCGTGGGAAAATTTGGAAAAAGGTCTCACGCTTACAGCGTGGGAACCCACGTTCCCACGCTGAGAGCGTGGAAAGGAAAATTTTTACCCGAAGCTCCCACGCCCACAGCGTCAAACCCACGCTGAGAGCGCGGCAGCCAAAATCAGTATTTAAAAAGAACTGAACCCTAACTTTCCCTCCCCATTTCCTTTTCCCTCTCACCGTGAAAACCCCCCCCGATCTTTCTCTCTCTCTCTCTCTCGATTTCCTACCTCTGCCCCAGCCACCACCGCGACCAACATTCTCCTCTCCTCTTCCCTCACCAATCTTCCACCACAAACCCAGCAAGCACTTTGTCTTCTTCACGTATATCATTCTCACATCAATTTTGGGTTCTGATTTTTGGTCGGTCACTAAGCAATCATGGCAGGAGATAAGGTATTGTTGCAACTCTACTACTTCCTTATGCATGAGTTGGTATTAGGTTTTGACTATTGTTGCTTGTTCTGAAAATACTCATGATAGAAATATATTTGGAGTAGCATATAAGGGTCAAATATTAGTTACGTACATGCACTCTACCTGTTCGATGATTTGCCTGATAAGGAAGTACGATATGATGGTAAGGAATGCATATGTGCTTATCAAGCTAAAAATTGTGCAACCGGTAATCGATTGTCATGGTGATTTTTGTGTGAAAAATTTTCTTAAACAAATGTCTGCCATGCATTCGATTAAGGGATTGTTACAGTTTCTTACTATCCGTGTATGCCTCTCATATTGAGCATATTACATATTACTTGTGTTGTTTTCATTGCCAAGACAGATCTAAAAATTGGGAGCATCACATTTTGTATCTGAGTTGGCCTGATCATGAGTGCACTAAATGCTAAATTGGGTTTTATTAGATTACTTCAGTAGTTTGAAAATATTCATGTCAGCAATGCTTTAAGTCTGATTGATGATCATTGGAATTCAAATGTTCAAATTACAGGCCATGCTTATGATATTCTGTGTAAGCATGTAATATTTTTTAGCATACTCTATTGATCCAGTGCACTTCGATTTTGGATAAGTATTCTGATGATCAAAGATACCAAAAGTACCATTGTGAAAAATAATTCTGGGAATTTCATGACTGGTTTTCATTGTTAAATCTTGACATGCATGAGTTTCCCTGTTTTTGTGTTACTTTTCTGAGTGCAGGGAAAGAAAGGCAAGCAGATCACCACAAAAGGAACTAGTTCTGGCAAGAAAACTGGAGCAAGTCGTGCTGCTGGCACAAAAAGGGCTCGGACCTCTTCTTCATCTGTTTTTGATAGTACCAGGTTCTTATCACATGAGGCTCAAGACAGGTTTTACAAATGGTTTGGCCCCAAGAAAATCATACCAGAAAGGCGAATCAGTTCCTTCCTAAATGATGATTGCCCAGTCAAACGAACAGTGAAGAGGAGAAAATGGGGGAAGTTAGTGGGATTTGCTGCACCAAGCTCCAGCACAATTCTGAAAGAATTTTGTGCCAATGCTGACCAAGAGACAGTAGATGAAACTAGGAAGAGCTGGGTGAGAGGACATGAGATCTCTTTCTCCTCTGACGCAATAGAGCAATTCCTGGGGACCACATATGACCGTAGCAAGCCATGCCACTCTATACGGACATTTAATAGATTGCAACCTACGGCTGAAAAAGATTTGTACTGGGAAGACATGCCTGAAATTGCAGAGAGAGTCCGAGCTGCTATCACTCATCCTCATTCTACGTGGAAATCAAAGGGTGGGCAGCCACACGTGCCAGAAAAGTTAAAAAGGGAGGATCTAAATCCAGAAGCAATGTTTTGGCACACTTTCATAAATTCCACAATCATTGCATCTACTAATTTAAGTGATGTCAATGTTGAGAGAGCAGTGCTGTTATATACCCTTATGGGTACAGAAAATCTCCATATTGCTGATACTTTGTCTGACAGAATAGTATACATCATAACTCAGAAGAAGGCTGAGATCCACCTTGCTCACAGTTCTTTGATACAGAAGCTCTGTCAAGCGGCTGGAGTGGAGATTCCTGATGATGAGCCCTATGATGTGCAGGTTAAAACAGACCTCACACAGACAAATTTTGCTACTATGAGCGCAGAATCTAGTCGGAATGCTCTTTGGAAGGCAGCCCGTGCAGCAGGTGGAGCACCTCCAGCATCACCACCTGCACCTGAGCATGATGCAGAGCCCGTAGCTGCACCTCCTGCAGATTCCCTTATGGTTCAGATACAAGAGATGAGGATCGAGCAGAGGTACCTGAGGGAGATGATGGAGAGGCTATGCAGTGATCGCGGGATTGACACTGCGAGTTTCAGACCACAGTTTCAACCACCTCCATCTCCAGCAGCGGCAGCATCACAGGCCGTTCCGGATGATGTTGTTGCTGATGATGAGGATGATGACGCTGCTATGGAGGACTACTGATGATTATGCACTTCATTACTTTCCGACTAGTATAGTTGTTGCTGAGGACAGCAACATTCTAATCTGGGAATTGTCGCATGGCATGTTGTATGCGAGACCTGTTAAGAACTACACCACGGAAAGAACGGTCTAAACAGAAAATTTTCTAAAAAGGGGAGATATTTTAACCTTCAATTGTTATTTTTATTTGCTGTTTTGAGTTAGATTCAATCTTTATTTTAAAAAAAAAAAAAAATTTAGATTATTCCTAAACAAGCAGTTCCAGAATGCTCTGAGCTTACTCAGTAAGTAATTAGATTGAGTTGGATGAAGCATTATAACTGTGAGCAATTACTTGTTTTAATCTGAGAATGATGACTACTCGTTTTTATAACTGTTTTGCTAAAATGTTTGATAATGCTTGATGTGAAACAATGAATCGAGATTCTAGTTTGGATTTTAACTGTGAGGATTTGAGCCTAAACAGAATTTTATTTCAGAGAGGCCTCACTGTAGTAGATTCTAGAACTTGAACTGTTTCTTTGGCTTGTCATGCATAACTAAAATGATAAGGGCATTTTTATTCTTATTAACTTAGAGCCAAATAGCCTACCCATAAGAATTTCCATTGTTAAGCCCCTTTGAGCCTTAAACCAGTTCATTTCAACCTGATAAAAAATTACTTAATCTTGTTCCTCTTGACACACCTTGAGAGATTGAATGCTGAACAAAAGAAGAAAAATCAAAGTACTTCTCAAAAGGAAAAGTTAAGTAGTTAAACAAGGAAAGGAAAAGGTAGCAAATAAAGGAAAAGAATCCCAAGTTTGTAAAATGAGGCATAATGAAGAAGAGAAGGAAGTATTGTTAAAATCAGTATTTCAATCTTTCCAATAAAGCTTCCGACCAAATGATTCTCACCCCCAAACCAGGCCAAGTTACAACCTATCAAAGACCTTTTGATCAGTCTGTGCATGACAAATGGATTCCTCATTCTTAGGAATTGAGAATAAGTTCAAGCCTATGGAATTACTGCTACACTGATGAAATAAGTGTGAAACCCTCAAACACTGAGCGTGATGAGAGTATATTTATAACTGATGAGGAATATTCATGCTGGAGTTTTAATTCTTGACATAACTGAAAAGCATTGTTGGGAGTTTTTAACAAAGAGTTATACATGCATAGCAGTCTGAATTCTTAAGATGTTGTGTTCCATGTTTTCACTGAATTATTCTTTGCTGATAACTTGAATATATTACATTGCTGAGGACAGCAAAGTTCTAATCTGGGAATTGTTTGATATGCGCCTAGCATATAAGGAAATCTGAACCAAAAAGAGAAAGAATGTTGATGAAATCTTGAGAAAAAGAGCAAGAATCACTGTTAATTTGTCAGAATCTTAATCAAGGATTGAATACTGATTTTATGCTAATTTTGTAGGAAAAAGCAAACAAACTGGAGCAAAACGAGGATTTTGCAAAATCAAAATCCACGCTCAAAGCGTGGATCTCACGCTGGCAGCGTGGAAGAAATTTTTCAGACAGAAGCGTTCACGCTTGAAGCGTGAAGTTGACGCTGAGAGCGTCAGTTTGCGAATTCTCAGACCCCGTGTTTTGCAACGGGGCAATTTTGGAAAAGAAAAAGATTTAAAAATCAAGTTTTTGATTCAGCAATGAGATCTCTATCCAAATTAGAGATAAGATTAGATGATTTGTGGTAAGATTGAATCAAGATTTGAAATTCTAATTTATCAATCAAATCTCCAAGGTTGTTACATGAAAAAAGGAAACAAAGTTTAAATCAAATACAAACTCTTGGATGGGCTCAATGCCGGTGGTTATAAATAAGGAGATTGGGAGCACAACAAAGGAACCAATTCACAACTCAGAGCAAGCAGTAGAGGACTGAAGATCAAGAATTCTTCTCCATTCTTTCTAGTAATTATAGTTTTTATGCTTTCTTTTGAATATTTGTTTATGTCGGATATGACTATGTCTGGCTAAGTTCTTTTATTGTAGTTAGGGTCACAACCCTATGTGAACCCTTGTTATGACGGATTGATTTAAATTATTGTACTCGTTTACATAAATTTCTTTATCTTATCTTGTGCGTATTTGATATTTTCTTTATTAAACCTGATCAATTTGATAGTTGAAAATAGTTTGAGGGTTAGAACCTTAAATAGGGATATTGGGGTTTCTGATCTCGAAAGGAGATAAGATAACTATTGGTATGCATACTAGGGATAGATGTCTATTTAATTGCAGATGTTGGAATTATTGTGTTCATTGCTTAATTCTCATGAGGGGTTACTAAGGGATTAGGATTCTAAGTGAGGTTAAAGGGTTAAGTTACCAAGGGATTGGGATTTAACTATTAATATATTGAGATCATAATTATCTGAGAAATTATATAAATAAGTATTTTGTATCAATCCAAAGTAATAAGTGGGGAACATAGGGAGAGTGTTCCCTAACTGCAATTCTTTCTCATATTTTCAAAACCAACTCCATTATTATTTTTCTTTTCATTCTTGAAAATACAAAAACTCAAAAATAAGTCTTTACTTTTATGGTTACTAAGATTCAATTTAATTTTCCCAACAAAAGATCAAGTTTTTCAACTTAAAGTGACTGATTATTTTAGTACTTGGTTTTCAATCCCTGAGGAGACGATCTTTCTTACTACTTTACTACTTATGCGAAACGGTATACTTGCCGGATAGCATCAACATCTAACTGAAATACCTCAAAAAATAGATAAAGTGAGTATCTATGTCACAGATCTACTACACGTAGTCCGGACAATATCCTGATACATTAATACTACTCCAAATAAAACAAGATAATAAACAAGTCTATATGGCATGGACAATCCCCATGCTCACCAAATCAACAACATAACCAACAGTGTCTCAACAAGATAATCCATAACATAAATGAAGCTAAAAGCATAATAGCAGCAAGCATATCCAGCATCCAACAAGTCAGCAAATAAAACCAGTAATATCTAACTCAGCTCCGGCCTCCTGCCGCCTGGGGTCTCAACCCCGACATTACCTGATGAATGCATAATTCTGTATGCTATGACATGCTTGACACACACACAAACAGACACAGGTGAAACATGATGTGCAAATGCATGACTAAATCATATAGCATATATCTCTTGTATATTTAATACCAAGCTGCCGAATAACAAACACTTCCATAGGCAGAATTTTCCATCAAGACAAGTCCAAAGATAGATTTCATATATCATATAACAGAATACGAATCATAAGGGACATGTGAGCATCAGTTCAAAATTCCATACTCTAGCTAATAGTCACAGTAGGTCTCACCACCAAACACATACCTTGCGTGCCCAAATACAATTCAAACCACACCAGAATAGTCCACATTCTTAGAGGTTTATGCGCACCTAGTATACCATTTCACCAAGTCAGAATTTTACATAATTTTTCCTACAATTCACAAATAGTTCCTATGCTTTCAATCCTTGTACCTTAATTAAATTATGAGGTCACTATGATAATTATTTTTCTGCCCTTAAAGCTATTCCTCCCATTGCTAGCAAATAAAATTTCCTAAGGTCTCATACATGTATGAGTTCAGCTTTCAGCATGACAAAATGTTCAGGATTTTATTTACGTACTCATTCCACTAATTTCTAATCAAATCAGGATTTCCAGCGTTCACCACACACACACACACACACAAAGATTCGGTTTTACCATGCATTTTCCTAAAACAAATTTTTGGCTTCATATTTAATTAACAACTAGTTAACAGCAAAGTAATTCAAAGCTTCCAACATATTCAGATTGGTTTTAAGCCAGGGTTTAAGTGCACAAAATTTTATATCAATAAGACACTACCCATTTTGCTTAGACTAGAACAATTAAGTTTTTAGCATACTAATTTCGTCTCTTTTTATTCACTAACCAACAGAAGAAATCCAAGGTTTCAGAAACATCCATAATCAGTTTTCATCCAAATTTAATATGTTTTAGAGTATTCATTTATCTGACCATCACTTCTAGACCAAAGGTGCGCTGATGGGGAGACCAAGGCATACTGTTAATTTAATTTAATTTCCTATAGAGTTTGATACAACAAATACATTCCAACACTAGATAACTTATTCACATGTAACAAAGCAACACTTAAAGAGGAGGCTTTATTTCAAGCTTTCAACCGGTTCTATCATGGCAGAATCAAAGGTATGAAATTGACAAAAACGACACTCTCTTATCAAGCATGTGAGGTCCAACCCGAAAGGTACAGGAGTATGAGTGCTACAAAACCTTAATCCCCTAAAGTGCACCTACAAACCGAAGCAGAAAGTGGGGGAGGAACTAAGTGTTCAACCATTACCTCTTAGCGGTACACACACTAGCCAAATCGATTAGGAGACAGCAACCTCTCCCCTCCAAGAGCTCCAAAAATTGAGTTCCATGCACCTCCTTAAGATAGATTCTAAACCAAACAAGGCAAAGAGGAGAATGAGTTTATACTAAAATCTGCAAATCTGAGGAAGTTCCACAACAATCGAAGAGAGGATTGGAAGAACAAGACAAGGGAAAAACGCCACACCTCCTTGCTGCGGGTTGTTTCGGCTGGACAAGAAGAAGGATGAGTGGATGTGAACTTAAACTCGGTTATGCATGCAGGGGAAGTCCTCATCAAATCGAACCAAGACATGCGCACACCAAGAAGAACTTGGTCAGAACCTACTATGGAAGAAAAGGCAGTAACAACGATGAACTCTCCATTTCTTTGCTGATGAACGCACGGCTGGAAGGGGAAGGGAATAACAATGGAAGGGTAATCCCCCCTTCCTAGGAACGCCACGGACCTGGTGGAAATGATGAAACACAATGAACTGTCAGGCAATCTGTACCATGGTTGATTTGGTCGAAGGTGTGGAGCGGGTGCAGTTCAGTTTAGGTGTGCTTGCTGCTTTAGGAATGAGAGGGAGTGGGTGTTCTGGTTCGGTTTTTTTACAGTGAGGTGCCAAGAGGGAAGAGAGACTCGAAGATTAATTATCAATCTGAATTAACAGACTATATACCTCAGCCTATGCCCCTCTGATTAGCGCTCTTAGAGTGAAATGCTTAGGATGAGAGGGTAGTTTCCAACCAATGAGAAGTCATGCAAAAAGAGTGGGCCAATGAGGAGCATGCTTCCAGATTTCTTTAGGATAGCAAAGTGGATGGTTTATAAATTTTGGGCTGAGTCAAACCTCCTCTAAAGGTTTGGGCCGTGGCCCTTGTAAGGAAAATGGTCCAAAACTAATTCTCCCAATGGTTCACTAATTTTCTCCTGTACAAATATTAAATACAACTCACTCATATTTGTACCCAGTACAAGTTGTTCTTAATTCAATTTAAGGTCACACTAAATATGTCTATATATGTACATATATTTCGAATGACAAGTCATGCTTCCACATTATTAATAGTAATTTATATAAATTCCTAATTTTCACGGGATGTTACATCAAGCCAATAAATAATATCAAATAAAGCAAAATTATAATTGGAAATCTTGCAATTTGTAATGCTAGTAATCATACTTTACTTGAGAAAGGATAATAGTCTTGGTATGATGATACCAAGCTTTCAACCTTTTCCACATAATCTGAGGGTCTCGAACGGATCAATATCCAGTTTGCAAGTTTTTATGCAAACGACGACAAATAAAAATCAGTGCATTTGCTTTATCCTTTTCATACGATGTTTTAGTTTCTGTAATTGTATTAATAAGATGTTTTCCTTGAAGAATTTGAGCTTTTCAATATTTTCCATAATAATGTATGGGAAAAATCCTTACATTAATGAGAAGGCCAAAGGAAAAAAAAGAGAATTGGTAAAAAAAATGAATTAGAACATTGTTAAAGAATACCTTTCTTTTAAAAGAAAAAATTGCTTCCTTGTTTGTAGGTTTGTTAACATTAGTTTGATATGGTAGAGGTTATCGTGTTGATAATGTATTATACAATTGATTGAGAATATAAAAGAAAGTGAAATATGAGAGAAAGTGGAAAAAATGTTGAGAGAAAGTTAAAGGAAGATCGAAGATAAGTTTTTGGGGTTTATATTTCTTGTGCAATAGAAAAAAAAAACCTTCGCCACTCAGCAAAAGTGAGACCCAATAGGAAAGGAAAAAAAGAAAAGAAAACAAGTTGTGGCACGAGAATCGAAGGGTCAACATGAAATTGTTATGTAAAAAGTATAAAGCCCTTAAGTGTTTAGGAAAGTATGAAATATCACAAAATTCTGAATTCATAAGCACCGGACATTGTTTATCTAAGTCATGTCATTATAGGACTGTAATTATAAATAAGGGAATAATTGCACTTCTACGTACGATTAGTGTTGTGGTTATATGATAGAAAGGTAATGAGAAAGCAAAGAATCATATACATTATAAAGTATATGAAAAGTCATCTATAATATTTTATAACAATGGCAATTAAATTAATTACATTGTACTCCTTAATTAATTGTTATGAATTTAATTTAAATGTACTATGACAATCAAAAGTTTTACATTATTATTTAAAATATTTAATAACATACAAGTCATTTAATTTATTAAATAATATAATAATTTATTAATAAATAATAATTCAAAAATATATATACTTTCTATATAATTTGTTTTTATATTTATCTCATGCTTTCCAAAAAGTATGTGCTATATACAATATTATGCCTACTCAAGTGAGGCTGAGACAAATCTTAAACATGTCTCCCATCTTAGCAACTTAAGGTTTTTATACAATAAACTACAACTTAATTTAATAACAAATTAAACAAAAATTATAAAATATAAGGTATCCAAATTCATGACCACAATTTTGAAATAATAGCAAACGGAAAGGGGGAAAATATATTATAACTTATTTAAAATGGCTGATTGATTGTTCTGTTCTTACTTAAAAAAATTTCCCACTTTCCTCCTCTTCCTAAATTATATATGAATTTATCACTCTTTTTAAGTTATATATATCAACATGTCCCTATTTAACTAAACCTTAATCAATGGTAAGTCTTTTACTCAAGTAAATAACTCATTTTCTCTAATAAATGTCGATCAAACTTTGATCAAATAGCACCAGATTGATATATAGCATAGTTGTAAAACTCGGCCCAACCCGGCCAGGTCGACCCAAAACCCTGTGAACCGATCATCGGACCGATTCGGATAAAGCATTAGACCGGTCATGCATCAATCCAGTCAAATCCGGTCAAAACTCGGCCAAACCCGGTGACCCGGTCGAGTCATGCATTTAAAAAAAATCAAAAAATAAAAATTATTTTATCGTGAAAAAAAAATGTAGAACTCATTTCAAAAATATTTTGTAATTTTATTTGCTAGTATACTCTTCTACAATGACCTCAAATTTCAGTTTCCAATACTGAAGCAATTTGCGGAATAATAAATTAAGAGAATGTGACATATGTCATTTTTAATGTAGTTGAATTTGAAAAAAATGAGTTCAATGTCATTGAGATGTATGTTTATGAGGATTCTGAGTTGTAATTTAAATTGACATAGTAATAACTTGTATTTTTATTTATTTATGCTTCTTATTTTTGAACTTATTTAATGAACCTTGTTTCATTTATTTTAGATATGGAGAATATAATTGAATTTATATGTTCGTATTTATATATAATTTTATATATCTATATATATCTGGGTCAACCGGTCCGACCCATAACCCACCGGTCCGACCAGTGACCCAATAACCCAGTACCCTTACCAGTTCATTGCCCGGGTAGGGTTTAATAACACTGATATATAGTTTGAGAAGAAGGATACATTATATATAGTTAAATAAAATGTAAAGTGATAAACAGATTTAAAAATAAGGACAAATTGGTCAATCTGCCATTTAAAATTGAAAAGGATAAAATTATAAATATATTTTATTATTAATAAATATTACATTATTTTTTTATTCGTTGGTTGTAACTAAAGTTAAACAATTTTTGATAAGTGATAAAAAAAATTTCATCTTTAATTATGTTTATAATAAAAAATTATAAATATAACATATCCCATATATATTACCTTAAAAAAAGACACATTATAGGCACTATTATTAATAATAGAAAACAAAGATTGAAAAGCAATGAATTATAATTATAAAAGAGATTTGTTTAAAGATATGTGTTTAGAAATGACATTTTAAAATTGATCTGGATTTATATTATAATAATGCATGGCCCAAATTAAAAGCCTTCAACACTAAGTAAAGACTACAGTCAATGAAGGTTGCAACCTCATCTTTATCACAAGCATTTCTCATCAAGCACCTCAGTATTAAATGGTACAACTGTATTACTTTGGCACCAAGACAAAGCAAACTTGATCACTAAGCAAAATCACCAAGCTGGTCATCTCCCAAGCTGCTCATATCTCTACTATAAAAACATATATGTTAACACAAAGGTACACATCCTCTTTTACATGATTAAAATCGGCTTGAGCCAAATCTGACTTGAGCGTCGGAGTGTCTTGCAGGTACACCCTTCACAATGTATACTGTATATGCGTGTAACACCCCGTGTATACCCGGTTTGTTAACATATCATCGTATTAAGCTGCGCTTAATTAAAAAAAGAACGGAATATCTTTTTCTTTTCATTTATGACGTCATTATACTTAGCCAAGTTGATTACTTAATCAATTTCAGAAAAATATCGCCTGTATGTAAATTGCAAAAAGACATCTAACTGAAATACATCATAATAAAGATAAAGTGAGTATCTATGTCACGAATCTACTACACGTAGTCCGGACAATATCCTGATACATTAATACCATTTCAAATAAAACAAGACAATAAACAAGTCTATGTGGCATAGACAATCCCCATGCTCACCAAATCAACAGCATAACCAACAACGTCTCAACAAGATAATCCATAACATAAATGAAGCTAAAAGCATAATAGCAGCAAGCATATCCAGCATCCAACAAGTTAGCAAATAAAATCAGCAATATCTAACTCAGCTCCGGCCTCCTGCCGCCTGGGGTCTCAACCCCGACATTACCTGAACCTGAAATGGTGCCCCAAACGTGGGGTGAGATCTCTAAACAGAATCTCAGTAAGACAAGGGGTCCTCAAGGATCTTCCACCCCAAGATCACTTACATGTGTAATATAAGTTCCAAAACTCAATGCAGTGCAACAAATATTCATGCCATGTGTGTTTGACTATTCTACTGGCCAGAGAAATGCAGGAATACGTCTATCACCTACATGTAGTACAAGTAACACCGCTCGCACCTCACCCACAGCCTCACCATATTGTATGTACCACATACTTAGGCTTACCGTATAGGTGGAACACCACATACATATCAACAAGGCACTAGCATATAACAACTCAATAGCATTTCCAAAACATCAAAAGCATGTAACACAGCATGCATATAACCATACCCCCATGGGACATGGCGGAACCACAACATGATTAACCCGAGGATACGAAAGCTTACCTGTACCCGTATGCCCTCCGACTCGAACTCGGTATCACAATGGTCCACACCACAAATAGAATCCAATGCACTCACAGATCTGGTTCAATGACCATCATAGTATCAATATACATATTCTAAAATTCCTAGGCAATCAGATATTATTTTCTTTTTCATTTCGAACCGAATTTCCTTTTTAAGACATACCTTTTAACTTATTTAATATAAGATAATTATTATCTTATAAATATATATATTTATAAATATACATATTATATATAATTATATAATATATATATATGTGTGTCAACTTCCAACTACGTTAACTATATATATCAAAATTCCAATTTCCAACTACCGACTTCCTGTAACAATATATATATATATATATATATATATATATATATATATATATATTTGAATACGTTGACAATTATAACAATAAGGTACGCATGCTTTTCATTTTAACAATTCAGTCTCCAATTATAACAGTAAGGTAAGCATGCTTTTCTTTTTAAAATTCGTTTCTTTTTAACAATTCGGTCTTCATGGTTATAATAACGTTGATATACATATATATCAAC